TTTAAAAACCAAAAAAAAATTATTTCCTTTCTAAATTTTTTTTTTTTTTTTTTTTTTTTTTTTTTTTTTTTTTTTTTTTTTTTGGTTACATCTTGTGTTTCAGATCTTCAAAACAATTTTTAAAATATGGAAAAGCATGAGAAAAAAAAGCAGCTCCCTCTTGGAAATGAGACCACATATGAACTCTATCATAATGTTTATCATTTATGCAACTTCACACATATTGTTTTTGGCAGAAGAAGCAGAAAGTGGAAGTGAACTTTATTAACTTATATGCATTTCACAGTAAATATCAGCCCACTATGACAACATATATTTCTCTTTTCTTTTACTTTACTGTGCATATCCTTTATACATCAAAGTAGACACTTAGATCAACTTCTTCCAAATTTTCTCTATGTTAACACTGAACAGAGGAGTAGTCACTAAGGGAAGAAAAGTGATATCATGTTTGGACTGTTTGTGCGCTGAGGCTCACAAGCACTTGGGTTTTGAAGGTGGACAGAGATTCAGAGTGTCAGAGTGCACTAGTAAGTTCACATTTAGAGGGGTAAAACTACTTAAATGAATTAATTTAGTTTGGATCTTTTTTTAGTCTGGGTCTTTTTTCAATTTAACATGGCTGACTTAAGACAATTCTATAAAGAAGAACCGGTGGAAATTCTTCCACGGTGATGTGAAAGAACCATTGTCAAATATTTAATAACACCAAGGATGTTTGACCAGCTGGTTTTATGCACAGTACAATGGCTGCTGGAAAAGACAAGTGTTTTGTTTCAGAAACAACTTGCTGCATTCTTGTTGGTTGTGCAGGAGGCTCCATTTCTGCTTTTCAAAGATGTACAGTTGTATAATTAAGCATCTGAGTTGGATGAGCATGGCCAGCAGCAGCTTACTTGGATTTTTTTTATTTGACAAGTTCATTCTGAAAAGAGCTTGAAATAGGCAGAACCAAGCAGACTAAAATCTCATATATCCAAGAGTGATTTTGTGCAAAAAAATGTAATGAACATGTTTTGTTTAGTCCATTCACCTGTCCTAACCTGTTCAAGGAAGCATAATATGTCACCTTTACAGCTTCCATTGCACAGCCACTATATTTGGAAAAAGTGAGCAAGCATTATTCTTCTCAAAGCAAATCTATGTGAATGGATAGAAGAAATTCACTGCTACTGTCCTTCAGTTTTTCAAACATGATCCTGTTTCTCTTCTGTCAAGCTAAGAGTTTTGTCTTTATAGTGAGTCTGTAAATGATTTGGTAGCCATCATCCCAGCCATAAAGCTGATTCTCCTCAGGGTTGTACTTCAGACTGGCATGAGCTCCGTACCTCCTGGGGAAGTAAAGCAGAGGAGCCTCTTCAGTTAGCATCATGTCATTCACGTCAAACACACACTGAACTCGAGATCGGCTGGCCATGCGGGTGTTGTAAACGACATAGACTGTCCCACACACTACAAAAGCCGCCTCTGCGTTCCCCCGTGGGCACTGGGTGTCCCAGATTTGTTCTATGTCAAGCGTGGAAGTGTCCATCTTAGCGAGGCTAATGTTTGGTTCACTGTCAGTGGGGGTGAAAAGGAGCCACAAGCCCTCATCGTCGACTGCAAGGTCTGCAACAGTCTCAGGATTAAGAGTGTAAAGACTGGCATGCCTCTCCATAGGGAACATAGCAGTGTCTGTCACTGAACCACTCATCAGGTCAAATTTAACCACCTGCACATCTGTATCAGTTTCCTGATTTATGTAATACAGATAGCCGTTATAAACGGCACTTCCAGGACCCGTCCACTTAGAGGGAAGGTGGATCATCCTGCTCCCAGCCACTCCTAGAGATGTGGAAAAGTCACGGACGGATTTGAACTCGTAGACTGTGTCTCCTGATGTGCCATTGAAGACGTAAAGCTTGGAGGACTTGGGATCTCTGGTCCACATTCCTTTGGGGCTTCCTATTCTCTTCAGGATCTTCACAGATCTGATGCCAGAGATGATTTCCACACAGTCTGAAGGCGAAAAAAACAAACAAACAAACAAACAAACAAACAAGCAGCCACAAAGAAGAGGATTAGGATTTTGCTTTAACAGGAACATACAAAAAAATCGAGCGTGTGTTTATTCATATTCATCTTGCTTACACCGCTTGTAATGAGATTATGGGATGAAAGGAGCCGCTGGTTGCACAGCTGCGATGTTGCAAAGGTTGGGCACTTCAGCCGCTAGGCAGATAGACTTTATCACCCCACCTGGTTTTTACTGATACAGTGTTATCATAAAACAAGTATAGCAGTCTATGTCATGTGGCATTAAAAACCTAAAATTGCTGAAGTTGCTGTGAAGGAAGAGGTAACTGCATAAACTGAAAACAGGAGGAAAAGGAAAAAGGCACCAATGCAGATATTTAACAAATCTAGAACTATAAAAGAATGGTAACTAATCAGGCATTCTTGGAAACTTTGTTTACAACAAAAAACATTATATTGTAAAATGAGTAAGAAATTATTAAGTTATATCTATTTTAAAAAGACTATTCAAAGCAGAAATAATTGTGACACTTGTGATAAATGCAGTCATGATACTTCAACAAAAATGGATTTGCATTAAGGATTTTTACACATCTTTACCAGATGTACCAGTAGGCATGGCCAACAGATTATGTTCACATTATAATAAAGAATGAATTCAAACTCCAGCTGTCTGTCTGGATGAGGAGAAGTGCCGTTTCTCAATAGGAAATGTGGGTTTCCAGCCTACAGCCACTGATATCTTGGCTCTAGTTCTCAAAACTGGGTCAAGTTCAAAGTCGGGGCAAAATTAGACACAAACTCATCATGAGATGAAGCTTGAGCACAGCTAATAGACAGATGAAAGATGCTGTCTGTAAAAGAAAATATAACACAATTCTTTCTCTGAACCACACAAAAGAAAAGAAAATTCCCAGCAGTCGTCACCGACCGTCACCCATCCTCTCCCTTTTTTGTCCCGGAGCCACATCAGGATTAAGTTTCCAGATCTGAACTGGCTCTTCTATGGGGAAAAGATTGTTCCGGATCACTTCACAGACATTCACAATGGGTCTCTATGTACAGAGCTCATTTCTGTGAGCATGAGCATGGATAGCAGCGCCGCTGACCTCAGGGCAGTTTTCTGTCCTTCTGCAGCCACTGTCAGCAAATAAAAAGTAATAGAGAGGGGTTTCTCATTCCTGGACCATCTTTGGCTTCAGTCTTTAACAAACATGAAATGAAATGTCAGCGTTATAATTATGAATGGACGCTTGGTAATATTTCCGCATAATCCTTTCATTATGTCTTATTGATTTTGCTATTAACTCAGTTGGTGTATTAAAACAATCAATATTTCTTCATTTGCTTTGTGATAAAAATAAAACATAAAATAAAAAAGTAATTTAATTATTCATTTAGCGCACATTAAATTAAAAAAATTATAGGTTTTTGAAGAAATACAATGCTTTGAAAAAATATTCATACTGCTTAAACCTTTCAACATTTTTTATTAAATTAAAATCATAAACTTTAATGTGTTTCATTGGGATTTTTCATGACAAACCAAGAACAATAAATCTATCCATACGTTCAAAGTTATTATATTTGTTTCTTTATTATCCACATTGCATTTTAGTGGAGTTTTAATATCAGTAGTTTTGATTTGCAGTCGTTGCTGTGCTGTGCCATTTTTGGCCAGGTCTCTCCTGAAACAGAGATTTTGAGATATTCCTGGTTAAATACGGGTTACACATATGCAGACGTTAGTCAGTGAAAATCCAAACTTCAATCCAACTCAAAGTCTGTGACCTGAGAATTCCTATGTACTTTCCATCCAATCTTACTGAACATTGTTACAAAGAAAATGGAGCAATATCTTTTATCTCTAGCAATGTGAAGCTGGATTTGCAGTTGAAACTGCTGCAAAAGGTGTTTCTAGGATAAACATGCCCTCCACACTTTTCAGGATAATATTTGTTGAACCATTTATCATTTTCCTTCACTTCACAAATATGTACTGTTTTATGTTAGTCTATCATAAAGTCCCAATAGAATTGAGTAAAGCTTCTGAATGACAAAATATGGAAAAGTTCAAGAGGTAAAAATGCTTTTACATATATATTCCTAGAAATTCAAAGCCCCTCTCTCAACCTTCTTCATGATGATTTAAACAAGCTTTAATTCCTTGCACAACCTGAGTGAAAACTTTTTTGTAGCAGCTGTGTAGCAGCACATCTTTGGATGTGAGGATTATGATGATGAATGCCTTCCTCAAACAGGAGAGTATTTGTGCAGAAATGAATGACTTGCCTATGACCACATTTTGGCTGGGAAACATGACTCCACACAGACTCAGAAGCACTTGTTATGGTGCTGTGTTTGTCTCCCTGTTTTCTAAAGACATAACTTTTCCAAGACAACAACCTTGTAAAATGTTTGATGTGTTGCCTGTGGGATGTGTAATGTGGGTAATACAGAGCACAACTCCTATTTAACTTATGGGTTTTGACTCTTCTAGGCTTCTTGCCGTGAATACATTTGAAAGATTGAATATCTCTAGAGGTTGTTTGGCTGAAGTATGAGCATACTTCTTCAAACTCACCAGAGACTCTGGACTGCAGCTCCTCCCAGTCTTCCTCCTCAACCTCATCTCTCTCCTGCAGACCCCAGGCCTCCTGCTCCAACACTTTTTCAGCGTTGTTCGCACAAGCCCGTGGAGAATTCTGGGTCTCCACGTAGTCCATTTCTGTCTCCACAAGGTCCACTCGAGCAGAAGCTCCTTTCAGGTCTTTGAACATCATGCTGTGGTCATTTTTTATCCCTGTCATGGCCTCTGATGTTAGCTTTTTAAAATCCAGCATCTCTGTGCGGTATTGATGGGCTTGTTCATGCCACAGCTGCATGCGGTCCTGTGAGTAAGGAGGAGAGCAACGTAAATGTTAGACTGCGCAGCAGGGGAAGGTTTCTCTTTTGTGTTCAGGTATGCCAATCTGACTGTCTATATTAGACACTGCAAAAACATAAAATCAAACCAAGTATTTTTAGTCTAGTTTCTAGTGCAAATATCTTAGTACACTTGAAATAAGACAAAACTAATTCACAAGTAACTTTTCAGCAAGACATAGGGTCATTTTTTAAGTGAAGAATTCCTTAATACTGATGAAAAAGTTCTAGTTTTTCTAGTTTTATAACATGGGAAAATGTCTTGTTATAAGTTAAGGGGTCAGTATTGTGTATTTTCTAGGCACATAGCACCATTTTACAGCACTATCTAGTGAGTGTTATCTTCAGTTGTTATAAAAATGCTACATGTAAATAATATTACTTAAAAGAAATTTGACTTTGTAAACTAACGCCTTGAAATTGGGCCTCTGTCTCTTTAAAAACCTCCTGCTCTTTCTGAAACCCCACCTTCAGGAAGTCATCACAACATCGCTCTTCTTTTAACCATTTAACAACATTTCTACCAACGATGCTCTGAGAAGTAGCCTGGATAAAAAGCTCAGCAGGTGTACCGTTCCGCTAGGTGTTGCTAATTGCTGCTGGCTAGTCTGAAGGAGCTGAGTGGGAGAGTTGCAGGGGAGGGCTGCTCTGTGAGGCAGAAGTTTGGGTTCTGTAGTTCAGAGATGGAGTTGAGACTCAAAGACAGAGCTAAGTCTGTCCAATCATTTTGCACAGCTGAATGGTTGCCATGGAGATTAAAGAATTTCTCAAACATGCATACAAGAAGCAAGGCAACACAAAGTTGATTTTACATAATACTGTCCCTTTAAATAATCTGCCAACAGCACTAATACTTTATCATTAATATTAAGGAATTATATTATTGAAATTTTACTTGTAAGTTACTTGTGTCTTATTTCAAGTACTAGGATATTAGAACAAAAACACTTGGTAGGTTTTTCTGTTTATGTAGTGAGGAGTCTGCAATCTGCAACCTCTAATAACTGGCTAAAAATGACATATGTTTTAAAAACACACATAATTAAAAATATGATTTTTTTAATTGAAAAGTGTGTTTATATTTTCTCCAAATATTAACACACTGCAGAAGGAAGTATCCATCATCATTTTACAAAAGATTGATGTCTGTTTTTATTCTAAAGGCTGTCAATAAAAAATAAAATAGTGGTTCCTTAAAAATTACAACAAATTTTCTGTGGTAGATTAACAGTTGGCTTTTTT